ATACCCTCTATTTTGGCTTCTTGTTTTTTAATGATTCATGCACCTATTCCAACAGAACTTCATACTTTGTTTTGAATTTGATTTTTAAAATCTGCGTTTTTAATTCAGCATGAACTTGTTTCCATTTGAGGCGGTTTTAGTGTATAAAAACTAGAAAAATATTATGTTCTGTATGAAAATGCTGTTTGCACATTGTATTACGCTGTATTCCATGTAAGATATCATTCAAACAATATGTTATATGTAAGACTGGTGCTTCTGCTTTTGAAGAGAAAAAAAAAATATGCCAATTTTTACTGTAATAAGTATTGTATCATAATTAAAAGTTTATTTATTTGGATATTTTCCTGACATAATTGTAGTTGAATTGTTGTTTTGTAGTTCTTGAATGTCTTGAATGATATATATGTATCTAGGTTAAAAGAAATGAAAATAATATAGAAATTTTGATCATTGATATATCCTTTATTACTAATGCTATCCCATGAAAGGTTAAGGGCTCCATTCTTAGCTCAGCGTATCTGATAGGAAGCCCTGCTAATCATAGATCACTTAAACAAATTGCTCAAGGAAGCCGGCATCTTCTCCTCATATTTGTTGTGTACACAGATATTATGCTGGAAGAATGGGGTGCTAAGACAAGAAGAGGGTCACAGACTTTGTGAGGAAAAGTGCAAAAGTGTTTCTGCTCTCCATTTTCACATTGGAGCATTCATGGGAAAGTGGAAATGGCTGCTTTAGTTTACTTCAGATGAATAGGCCGGGACAGGCAGAATTTATCTCTAGGAATCTCTCTATCCCTGTTTACTTTTCAGGGCCATATTCTTGCAAAAAATCCTCTGTCAGTTTTTATGGTACTGACAGATTATTTTTTTTTTCTTCAACATCAGGTGATGTTATCATATCACTGTTATCACTGTGAAGAATCAAATTGAGCCACCCCTTCAAAAGACAGCCTAGCTGACTATTCATAGTGAAGTTGTCCTATCAAAATTAAGAACCAAATGGATTTGGATCTTGGAGATGCTGAAGATACTTTCAACTTCTGCCAGAAAGTTTTCCTCTGGCAGCAGCAGTTCTGACGCTAACACTATAGACACATTGAGAACAGTAATGTTCAGTGTGCTCCGCTGAAACAAGTATAGCATTCTAGGCCTTAAATTTTCCATAATTCAGTGCATTTCCTGTGCATTAATCATTGGTAGAAAATGTTTGAAACATATGACTGTAGAATTGGGTATATATTTTTCTATGTTGAATTTTAATGCTTTCCTGTATAGTAACACATAGTTCTTATTTTTATTTTAATCTCTGTTTTAACTAAAATGCAACTACTTAAATATTGCTTGGCAAGCAGGGCAAGGCCAAGTTGTCTCTGAGTGCAATAGAATATATCATAGAATATATCCCATGAAGTCATCATCCTAAGCTGAGAATTAGAGAACAAAGAAATAAATTAGTGGGGGAAAAGTCCTAGAATAGAGCCCTTAGCTACAATAACGTTACTTAGGTGATTGAAGATCCACCTTTATTAGACTACCAACTGTGTTTACAAAATTGTAGTAGGTCCAAAGTTTGTATCACCGTGTTAGGCACACTTACCCTTATTCTAGGTTAGCTATTTAGGGTCCAAGGTACTAATGATTTTTGTGTGCAGGTTTAAATGAAATCCTCACTCATTTTTTGCATGGTAGCAAACCTACTTTTTTTTTTTTTTTTTTTTTTTTTTTTTTTTACTATCTGATTTATAAGATTACCAAGAGATTCTTTTATGTTAAAAGAGATGACTCTTTTCCAGTGTACTGTATATCATCAGCTTGTAACTGGTCTCTTTCTCTCTCAGGATCTTTCCCAGTCAAATATTTGGGTTAAATTTATCATTTTATCTCTGTGAACCAGCAGTGACAAAACAGAGAGACACTCTGCTGTATAATGTATTTTTAAATAAAATAATTTTTCAATCATATATAGTGTATTTTTTGAGATATCTGCTGTAGATATATTTTGGTTGATAGCTTATGAACAATGAAATGATGATTTTAAAAGTCTACTGCATTTCATGATGTATTTTCATAATTAACCAGGAATTCCCACAGTTCCCTTCCCTTAGAGGTGGTTCTTGTGAAATTGAAAAGCAGGAGGGGAAGAGCTGTATTGCAGAAGTGTCCGCTGCCTGTTGGTGAAGTTCCAGACCATGCTTGGCTCAGGCCAAGCTCCAGACCCTGCTTTGATTGATTTGGAGAAGAGGCAAGTTTTTACCTCTCCCACAGCTGCAGTGGCTCCACTGGCCTGGAGCTAGGGCATTCAATCTGGACCTGAAAACTTTCAGTAGGAAGAGTTTGTCCAAACGAAAGTAAGTTGGCATTTTCTAACTAACATGGCTTTTGGGTAGTTGTTCTTTAAAAAAATCTCCATGAAGAGGCTGACAAACAAGCATCATCCCTTGTTCAGAGAAGATTCTAGCTCAGAGCAGTTCCCAGTAAAAATATGTTGTTTGAACTATTTCAATGGTTTTACATGCGTCTGTTTTTATGATTTGTGGTGGACCTTCTGTTTTTATGATCCTTGTGGACCTTTTCTCTGTGTGTGCTTCAGTGAAACAGCTCTGTTCTATTTATAAATAAGGTGCTTAAGAAGCATCTCTAATGCTATATGCTGCTGTGTTCCTAAAAGTGGAATTCATAAGGCATATGGGGACACCAGCTGGGCTTGTATCCATACCATTTTACATTCCCTTATACGTATTCTGTTGGTTGTTCGTAATCATGAACTCTATAAGACATACGGCGATAGCATCTGGGCTCACATCTCTTCAGTTTTTAAAAACGTTTGCTTTAACAATATGTATTAAGAGAGGATATCATTGCTATTTTTCAGCTGCAATTTTCTTTGCTATTTGCTGTTACCTTCTAATTTTGTTGCTGTTCAAGATCACAGTGAGTGTGACAGTCCATTTGCACATTATGTTAGCAGGGAGCTTTTATACTCTTCTGAAGTCTAATTTTGGTATTTCTGAGGTTTTCCATGCAGAAAGGAGAATGCAGTATATTTTAGGAAGAGACGACCTGAGTTTGTTTTGACCAAATCACCAAGTTACGTTCCTGCCCATCTGGATTGCCTTGGCCTCGGGGATGCTTTGCAGGAAGGAGGGCAGAGGGCTGAAGTAGGGTGAGCAGACCTCCAAGCCTCTCAGGCCTTTTGGTGCCCTCTGAGCACAACCACGAGTGTTTTCACCAAGGTCTGCCTCTGACAGCTGACTTGACCCCCACATGCCAGACTTCCCAGCCGTCACCCAGCACCTCTCATGCTTGGGGAACTGGACAGATCAGGTGAGATACCACTCTCTAACCCTGAGGCACTCTACAAGTGTGACTGCAGCTGGGGCCAGCGGCTGCCCAGTTTTCTTCTGGACAAGCAGAAAGACAAATGGGGACCTGTCATGACTTCATCTCTTCAGCCTCTATGTTTTCTCTTCTCTCTATGTTTTCTGTCTTTCAGGGACTTCCACAAAGTAAAGGAAAGGAAAGCTTCACAAATAAACTGTCCTGAATTGCCCCCTGTGTGGACAAGACCTAAGCCTTTTATTTTCCCAGAGGAGCTCTGCTGTTCTAATAACTTCCCCTAGTGACTACAGACAAATAGTTTTGCAGTAGTCAGCCTCTTGAAGTCATCTCATCAATAGAATAATCATCCCTAAATTATGCAGCTGCTGGTGGCTGTTTTAGTGGACTTGTGCATTGAATGTGATTAAGAATAGCACACTGGAATTGCCTGAGACTACTGAATCCATCCTCTGAAATGGGTCTTCAGGAATGACCCCAGCTAAGACTTCTAGCTGCCAAAACCCAATTCTTTGCAGCAGTGATCTCATCAGACAACATTCAGTTCTAAATAAAAATAAGAACCCAAAACCTTCTGACAAATCTTGCCCTAAATAACAGTGCTACACCTAAATATACATGTATGTAGAGGGAACTTGTGGCCTTGCTGACAATCTTTAATGTGGTTCTGAATGAGATTCTTTGGTTCCTAGATTGTTCTGAAGTAGGCAGATACCCTTAAAAAGAGAGTTAAGCATACCTACAATTGTAAAGTAAGAACTTAGACCTACAGAATGAGAAAGGGATGGAGGAGCAGGGAAAATACTTCCTTACACTCATTAGTGAATATGCTAATTTCAGGTAGATTTGCTGTGTTTTCCTAATTTAAAATCTCAATAGTGTAGCGGATGGCATTTCTGTGTTTTTGAAATGCTGCAGCAGAGAACTGCTGTTCTGTCTGCTCTTTCTGCTAAGACATTATCTACTGTTTCATCCCTTTTCCTACTGTTGCTTAAAGAAGCGGCTACTATTCCTTCCTTAGCAACCTCTATTTAAATGATAGCAACTGACAACTTAAAGATACTGTGTTTGACTATTCTAAAAATGAGTCTGATGCAATGAGAATGAAATGCTCATTTAGGAAAACAAAGCCCAAACCCTTTTGGCTCTCATTGAAGGCAGAGGGTTTGAAGCTAGTCCTAACAGGAAACACCAGGAATAAAACAAGTCCCTTGCCTTTTGACAGTACTTTGCAATGTCGTTAAGATGAGGTGTTAGATCTTTTTTGGGATTAATACCCTGTCTTTCTGAGCAATTAGAGAAACATGTTATAAAGGTGCAGTCTTGGAGCATGCAGTCTTCCAGAAGGAAACTGAGAATGTCCCTGCTTGTGTTATATTTATTCCACAGAGTCACACTCAAAGATGGTGAAGCACAGCGCAGAAGAGGGGGGATAGAAAGACTAAAACTGTGTGTTGTCTGTGGAGGGTGAGAGCTTTGCAGCATGAGTCTTTTTCAGAGATAAAGCAAATGAATGAGGACTTATATCAGCTGATTATGTGACAGAGTTCTGTCGTCCTGGATCTCCTGTGGGAATGTTGTCTACTTAAAATGTATACGTTTCAGTCAATTACCATTTTTTTTAGAAGAATAAATAATCACAGGATGTTTGATCTTCAGTTCTTTGTCAGATTAAGAGAAGTCGGTACTCCCATGCCATTGGACACTATGCTGCTGCTTTTTATTTGCTGCCTGATGACCTGCCTTCCAGCATACTTAAGGTAAAAGACTGTATTCTACTTTTTGAATGAATGAATTTGAATTTTTCTTCATGAGTCTGTGCATCTGTATGTAGGGGTTAAGAAAGTCTCTCTCATGGATGTACTTTCTTCAAAAAATTTGTATTGAAACTTATTTCTCTCTGTATAATGCTATAAACCTGAAAATAAAAGCTGTTCATAGTTGAGGGAAAGGGTTACCTACAGGCTCAAAGGCGGAACCAGCTCCTACAGGCCTTGAGCACTGCAGTGGGAGACACTTCAAAGTTTCAGTCACCTACAAGGCTCTTTGTGGCCTGCTTGATCTGAAGTGAGTGGTTTGATTCACGGACATACCACTTCACTGTGGTGATGGTTTCATTTGAAAGGAAGATCACCAAGGAACATAACATATCTACACAAAAGAAAACAGTACTAAAACTTGACTCTTCATCCTCACAGGCGTTCTGTGTATCTGCTTCTTTTATTATATGGCTCTGTGCTCTGTCTTCGCTTTTTCACTCTGCTTCTGGCATCTGTCTTTCTCATTAACGTTACATAGTGCCATGTCACATCATATAATAACCAGTGAGTGCAGACCCTACAGACAGTGGTCTGGCAGACATGTTACAGGCACAAATATGGCCTGAATTTGTGACAACAACCCTAACTAAGGGGAAGGGAAAGTTGTGCAGGGCTGTGTTGTATTATACTTCCTGTAATCTAGCAGAAAATAAATTGGTCAAGAAAGGATTAGATACTGCTCTGTGTATTCTGTTTTGTGTAGTTCCTGGTGGGAGTCAGGAGCCTTATTCTAGATTTAAATAGGAGAATAGGAGACTTAGGGGGCAGAATGGGTATTTTTTTATTTTTATTTTTTTCAAATTAGATCATATATTTCTCCATTCTTGCAAATGCATAGGGTGTTTAAGAGCACTATGCCAGATATGATGGATGGCCCTTTCCAAAGAAAACTTCTCATGTGGAGCTGCTCAAAGAAAATCACCAGATTACACAAGACAACAGGCAAATCCCAAGGATCATTCCTCCCTTTCAGCCTCCTTGTATCCTCCTGATTGAGAGGTCTCCTTTCTGAAACCCACACTCAGCTGCTCAGGCTTTGAATTATACCTCAAATGTAGGCCACCAGATATGAATCCAGTTCCTCCTCTTCTCTGCATCTCTCCTCTCATCCCCACACCAGTCTGCACTCATGGACCATTAGCAAGACTTCAAACACAGCTTTTGCATTAGCTGTGAGGAGGACCCAGGAGAGCTGCAGCTTGCCATGTCACTGCTGTTCTGCAGCTGGAGCTGAGATACACAGCCATTCTCTCTGCTGCGGGGGTAAATGGAAACCAAACATTTTCAGCAAGACAGCATATGATAGGAGACCAGGCTGTGTTCTTTGTCGCTGATGATTATTTGCACATTTGTATTATTATGTTGGTGTTGTTCTTTCTGATAGACTTAGTTGTGACAGGAGACTGCAAGCTTGTGCAGATCAATGGTTAGCCCTGGAACAGAGAAACGCTCTTTCACCTGCCAGATGGAGACTGGATTTATCATGTGAATTTATCAGCTGTGTCTCCCAGAAGCTTTAAGATGTCCTGGCATAGCCTGCTTCCAGGACAGTATGTTATCAGAATAGGCTTTCAGTCTGTCATTTCTTATTTCTTTAGTATGAGATAGATGTGATTTCCATTCGTTCTTTATAACAGATGCCATCTTTTATATATATATATATTTATATATATGTATATATATATGCCTGTATCTTATTCTTTATTACTTTTTGAACTTACTCACTCTCCCATATTGTTCTTTTATTGATTTCATTACCAGACGGCATAAAGAACTTTGCAGCATACGTTAATTTAGCTTTACAAAAATTCTATTTCCCTTCAGTGCCGTTCCTCTCTGTTGAGTTTTACACTTCAGCAGCGTTTAAATGCATCACATTCTCATTGTTTGTTGTCAATTTGCAGTTCAGCATTTGTCTTAGAATGTACCATGGACAAATTAATGACTTTTTTGTCCACTTTTTACATCTAGCCTATCATCTCCCTGTTGTAGCAGTGGAACTGGGAAGTTCTGCTGGTTTGTTTGCAATTGGAGGTGAGTGTTGGTTTCAGCATGGCACCTATGGTCAAGAAGAAATGTGAGACTTACCAAAAACAAGGAGAAATTTCCCTCTCCAGGCAGCAGTTTTCTCATGGCTCTCCTTGTGTTTTATCAGTGTCTGTGTGGCTCTCCTGGTGCAGTCATGCATGAGACAGAGAAAGCTCAGTCATAGGCAGGAGTGGTTCTTTTGGAGCCCTGTGCTCTTGTTCAGTACTGTGGTCACAGTGATAGCAATATTGTGCTGTTTTGTCCAAATGCTTCTGTTTCTTTATCGGCAGGGGCAAAGTGAATTAAGTAATGCCAGAAACACACAGCCTGATGCTTTTTCATTTTCTGTTGTCTACCTCTTCATGCAAGCATACAATGTGCTGGTTTGTCAGTTCAAGTATTGCCTTATCTGTTCTCACATCTGTCCTTAAGATACAGATGTCCATGTTACCAAGGAGGCAACACAAAATTGACTCTCGTCCCTTGCTTACTCCCATCCTGTGGTGACTCCCCTACTACTGTTAGTCTCAGAGACTTTGGTTTTGTTTTAACAAAGACCGATATGCAACAGCAGGAGTACTGGTTATGACTGAATTTGCCTTCTTACTACATATTTGGCTACAAGTGTGATATGTGGTTTATGTCTTTTAGACTGTAGATCCTTTGCTGTCTGTATCTGGGCCTGCAAGCCACCTCATCAAGTGGAGCTTTTATCCCTAGTGGGACCTGTAACTATTAACAAAAATATTCTATAGACATGTTTATCTGTCTAGGTGACTTCAGGATCCCACTGCTGTGCACAGGATCTGCAGGTATGGAGTGGCAGTCATGGTACAGATGTGCTCCAACCAGCCTGTGAACATGAAAGAACAGGCCAGGATATGCGAGACTTAATGCTACAGAATGTTGCTGCTGTGAAAAAGTCTTGTGAAAACAGTAAAAGGACAGAGAAAGAAGTTTAGCTGAAGATATTAAGAGCTATTCGGTTATTAAGATTCTGAAAGGGAGAATTTGGGTACTGAAATTAAGCAAAAGAGATTAAAAATTTCAGGACATCTTCACAAAATAAATAAATAAATAAATAAAAGCTTTCCAAATATTTTCTTGAAAAAAACATATAAACACAAGAAAATGAAAATATCTGCCAGTTTTCTGAGACTAAGCATTTTGTTGTGCTATCCTATGCAGAAAATTAATCTGTGATCAGTGTGGAAGAGTATAAATTGACTATATTTACAGACTCTATTTCTGTTACAAATCTAGGCTTGTTTTCTGACCTGCTGTTCCATGAATAGAGCTCATCATGCTCAGTATGTGCAATCAAGTGGAGTTTTGATGGATAAGGATGTGAAGCTATGACTTCTGATACCAGCTAGATAAAAAGTAGTTTAGGAGCTAGAGGTGATGGGTAGGGAATCCGTCATTCACTATCACACAGTCACACTCCAACAAAGAGAGATTACAACCCAAGCAATGAATTTGCTTGGCAGTAGAAACTGCCATTGTTAGTAAGGGCATTACAATTTCTAATTACTGCAGTTGAGAAGCTTCAAGATAAATGAACAGACAATTTAGATGCAGTTTGACTCTAAGTATCACAGTCCTGATGTTTCTCACTACCCACCTATTTCTGGAGAAGTCTAGGAAATGGATTTGCCAGGCAGAGGCTGAGGAGACATGGGGAAGGTTATTCTACAGTTGCACGAGTGCTCTCTCAGCATTTTGTCTCTACAAGGTAGAGCCCCATTTATCAGGCAAGGTGCTCTGCCTTACAAGACTATAAGTATGAGACACTGCTATAGAAGGGTTCACAGTGGGGATCAGCACAATTGGTTATTGTGGTATCTAAGTGGCAAGTGATTCGGGCTTGCTGGATTGTTGACCAATACTGTCACCTAAGTAATTAGAACATTTTGCAGTTTGACTACTTTTCAGCCAGAACAACCGATTTGACTGTTATGCATTCAGTTTGATAGACAAGGGCCTGGTCCCTTGGCTAGTCTTTCCTGATTCCAGTGAAATACTGTTCATCGCCCTGGGGAATCCACTCCTAGGAAACTTGCTCTTTTCAGTAGTGAAGAAACAGCTCTCAGAAATGAGCATTGCTCATCTCCATTTCTCTGTTCTCCTGGTCTTTGTTTCTCAGCTACTATCAAAGAAGCATGACATTTCAAACAAAAGCAAAAATAAGAGTTGAGCCTATGCTTCTCTTCCCCTATTCTTTAAAAATGGTTTTGTAAAGGTCACCTTTGGTGCAGCTGTAAGTTTTTAGCAATGTCTTTTCCTTTTCTAAATGGAATTTAGTCTAAATTTCAGGCCAAGATCTTAGCCATTTTGATAAGAAGACCTGTAGTACATCTTGTATTTTGGCTAAACTCCAATTATATTTTGCCTGGCTTAATTTACTCAGTGCTGCCAACAGAATGACATAGTTTTCACTGCCTGTTCTTCTCTTTGGTACTGTGTTGCTGTGCGCCATTTAAAACAGCCAATCCAAGGCAGCCACAGAGCAAAAATAGTAATGGCTAAAGAGCTACCAGGCACTCAGTACCCAGTGATGCTATGCTGGACGGTAATCGGGGCTCACTGGATAAGGGGATGTTGTTACCACAGTCCTTAGACAACTTCCACAAGAATGATAGATGCATAAACTGTGTCCAGACTGTTTTCTGAGCATGAAATTTGCCTGAGGTTTACCCTGTTTGGAAACACTTTCATGAACCATGAAGGAGAACCGTGAGGAGAAATATTAACCGTAAAGCTCCTTCTTTAGACAAAGAGAGCCATAAATTCATTTAAAAAGGCAGCTAGTAGTTTCCTGTATTTCATATTTACATATTCTGCCACCTACTTAGCAGCACCTTTCCGGGTTTGGTTGAAGTGTATAGCAGAGATTGGTGGTAAAGATTTCT